GGGACAGGTATTGAATTAGAATAAATAGTTGATTTCACATGATTTAGGATAAGCAAATATTTTCTCTTTGTTCATTGTGATTTGCATAAATAATTTTTCCTAATATTTTTATCTTTTTATTCCTTTCTTAGAAAAGGTAGATTATTCTTTTAATACATGTTTGAAATAAATTTGATAATATATTATTGAATATGTTTGTGTCTATTTTTACAAACGAGACTGAGCCAGTTTTGTTTTGTTTTGTTTTCATGTATTATCCTTATTATATTTTGGCACTAGAATGAAATAGCATCTTTAATATACTGTCTGGCTTTTCTCATTTTTCTCAACTCTAGGAAAGTTAATGTAATACATGAATTATTTTTCATTCAAATGTTTGAAGAACAAATCTGCAAAGCTGTCTATGACATACATCATTTTTATAAATAAATCTCTATCTTTAATCTTCCTTCCATATTTACAGGTCTACTTGGGTTTCCTATTTCATAAGCCAATTGTGGTAACATATTTTCTTAAAAAATCATGAATTGCATTTGTATTTACCACACAATTAATACTCACTTGTAATTTTCAGTTCTTCAATAGCTTTTTTCCTTTCTCAATTCAAATATTTATTTGTATCATATCTCACCTTTTGTTAAGTAAACTGACCATGGATTTGTTATTTTATTGGTCATTTTAAAACAAGGATTTTGGTTTCATTAATCAAATTTACTTTTTCTGTTGCTTATCTTTTTGCTTATTAATGTACTGCTCCATAGGGGAAGGGCAGTCTTCAGCGACTTGATCCTTCTTTTCCTAACTTCTTGAATAAGAAACTTTGTTTATTAACAGTTGACCTTTCTTATTGACTAACAAATGCACTTGAAGCTATACCTTCTCCTCTGACATTTATTTGGCCACCATTTGCTGATTTTCTACATAATACATTTGTTATGGTTCATTTCTAGCCTTAACAAAACAAAGCAAAACTTTTTAAGCAATATGTAAGCCATGCAAGCCATAAGAAGAGACCTTGATAAATTTGACTACCTCAATATTAAAATAGTCTAAAGTTTAAGATCAAAAGGGAAAAACAGACATGAAAAAACAGTTCCTCCCCATACAAGAACAATTTAATATTCTTAATGTATTAATTAATCCATTGATAATTCCTACAAAGTAATCCAATATAATAGTAGGCAAATAATATGAAAGAAATTTCATAAAATATGTGCAGTAAACATAGAAGAAATATATTTCATGTCACAAATAATCAGTTACATGAAAATAAAACCATGGGATGAATCCCTTTCTTGCCAATAGACTACCAAAGGGGGGATCCTAAAAGAGTGTGTAAGAGTTACAGTCTCAAAGTCTGTACAAAGAAAATTCAACAGCCATTCATATACAATCTCTCAACAAACTAGAACTAGAAGGGAATTTCTTTGATCTGATGAAAGGTTATCTACAAAATAACCAATTGCTAGCATCAGTTAATGATGAAATAGTGACTACTTCTACCCTAAGATTAAGAATAAAGAAAAAAGGTATATTATGTCTAGTCAACATTGTATAGGATCCATTAGGCATTACTTTTAGGAAAATAAATAAAAATCATAAAAAGAAAAAATACGTTAAAGTGACTTTATTTGTACATAACATAATTGTTTACATTCAAAATTTCAAGGAATGTAGCACCACCTAGTAAAATTAAATGAATTTATTAGGATCACAGAATAAAAGGTAATATATAAAAATCAATTCCATTTTAACATTTTAATTGCAAAAATTAGAATGTTGCCATTAAAATTACAATTACAAATATAGTAAAGTATATCAAATAATTAGTAATAAATTTTATAGCTATAATCCATATGGACAACAAACCAGATCTTAACCTTTGCCTCATATCATACACAAATATTCAAGATTGGTCATAGGCACAAATACATAAGACAAAAATCAGTAAATTTTTGGAGAAAACTATAAGAGGCTTGAAGGTAAGCAGAAGTTTCTTATTTCACACATAAAAATAAACTGCCTAAGAATAACAAATTGGACTTCATATAAAAATTAAAACTTTGTTATCATAAGACACCATTTGAGAAATGCTTATGCAAGCTACATATTAGAAGGAAATATTCCCAAATGATATATTTGACTAAGGAGTCTTGTCTTGAACATAGAGAATTTCTTCAATAAATAATAATCAAAAGACAAACAACTCATTAAAACTAGTCAAAGGACTTGAATTGATCCTTTATAAAATAAGATATATATATATATATGACCAAAAAGCCAGATAAAAAAGTTATTAGATGTCAAAAAAACTATAAATAAAAACTATAATTAGATATCTGTACATATTTACCAGAACAGTTACAATTAAAAATGACCAACAACACCAAACACCAGCAGGATGGCAGAATAAATGGAACTCTCACACAATGTTATAGGGAACATAAAATGGCACATCTTTGGGAAAGGTCTGTTACAGTGTCCTATAAACATATATGTAGTTTATGAGCCAGGAATTCCAGTACTAGGTATTTATGTGAGAAATATGGAAATATAAGAATACAGCATACTTGAATACTTGTACAATAATAGTCACAGACCTTTATTTACACTGAACCCAAACTGGAACTAGCCAAAGTGTCCAACAATAGGAGAATGACTAAGCACAGGGAGACACATCCATGCACTGGAGTAACATTGGGCAAGAATCTCAAAAACATTGTTCTGAGTGACAGAAATCTTACACAGAAAGTCCATATTGTGAGATTTCATTGATATAAAATGAAGATGAAGGACAGGCAAAATGGTGTAAAAAGTAACAAATGTTGTTGCCACAGTAAGGACAACCAAGTCAGTACCTCTGGAAGGTAAGTGCAGTGCCTGGCCGGCAAGGGAGATTTCTGAGGTGCTGGCTATGTTCAGCATCTTTATAGGAATTCGAGTTATACAAAAGCACGAATTTGTCAAAACTCATGTACTCTCAAGATAAGAGCGTTCTGTTGCAGGTAAATTTGATTTTGAAGCAAAAATTACCATTAACAAATTTTGAAGGGGAGATCATGACACAAATGCTGCAATATTTATGGAAGTGAATACAAATAATGCACTTGATGTTGAAATGCACCAAAAATAAAACAGATCTATAGATGGATAAAAGGATGGAGAAGACAAAAACATGATAAAATAAATATAAAAACATTAATGGTAGAGGGATGAAGGATGTGTACTATGGGTGTTCTTCCAAAGTTGAAAGTCTTTCAACTTTTCTGTATGTTTGAAATTTTCATAAAATACTAGGGAGAAGAGGAAGTGCCCAACTCCTTTAACTTCCTAATCTTGAATCTCGGAGAAGCCCTAGTTCTATACCAACCTCCCCCAACAAATGAAGATTTAGAGCCATCTCCCCTCCAAAGCTGTTATAAATTCAGATATACCTTTTTCCTTCATAAAATTAGTAAGAATACAATGGGTTCTTCTAATATGTAAGCATTTGTTTACGCCTTCAAATTCATAAGAAGGATGGTAAGGAAAGCTGTTTTTTATTTAAAAAAAACATATTTGGAATTTGACAAATGCCTTTCTGTCAAGAATAAAGAAGAAGTTAGAGCCTGAAACATTATGTACTTTGACAGAACCAGTCAATTATAGTTTTCAGAAGTAATAACTTGTAGTCACTTTTTAAAGATCAGATGTATATGGAGAATTGGAGTTTACCTCTAATCCATCTATTAGTGCTCCCTACATGAGCAATCCACTTCGGGGAGATAAAAGTCTTTGTAAAATGATTCTCTGTGGTATGGGATCTGGAGATTCAGACAGGAGGGCTGCTGGTGGAAATCAGAATTAGTAGGGAAACACAGTGCTGAAAGAGGACCTGAGAGCCCATGTGGTTTATTTAGTTCAACAAAAAGTTGACTTCAGAGCTTCTCTAACTCAATCTTTAGTTGACATTGCTTTGGAGTCCATGTCCCCCGGATTCTCCTGTTCAGTTTCAGAGTTGAACATGTGACTCAGGTGGTTAAAGGAAACCCAGAAAATGTACAATTAGACAATGCTCCTCTACATGTGTTTGCTAAAATGTTTCATATTAAGAACTTACCAAATCAGAAAAAAAAAATTTGAGCAAGTTTTGTGCCAATTTTCTTGTTTCAAATACAATCGTGGGAGTCACAATTATGGTATGAGGGATTTCTATTTGTTAAATCTCTACTGTATGGGACATGCTATGTCACATGCTGTGCCTGCACTACCTATAAACCTCAAAACAAACTGTAAGTGCCAGTGTCCTGCACTGGGAAACTTGGGTTTAGTCTAGATTACCACCTCACATCATCTGGCTGGTAAAAAAGTTGGGGGGAAAGTATTTGAATCACATCTTCCTGTATCCCAAATCCAAGTTCTTCTCATTTCGTTCTCTCCATAGATTCTGTATTATTCCCAGCTGTCTGTTCACCCATCTGAAGACTAAGGATTAAAGTAGTATTTTAAAGTAGTACTTTAAAGTTTAAAGTAGTACTTCCAGCCAAGTAACTCACAGTTACAATACTGATAGACAAAACAGGCCAACCTCATGCCCAGGAAGCCAACCAATGACAGGCTCTCCTGGGGATTCTGGACAGAACTAAAGCCTCTTAACCTGGAAAACACACCTTTGCCCTTGAGGGCTAGGAAAATTGCTGATGAAAGTCCTTCCTGGATATAATACTATGCCCTTAAAGCAAACTTTTTCTTGTTGCCAAGACTCCTGCCAAGTTATGTGAACATTCTAAGCAACAGAGACCAGACTGGATGCTCCAGGGTTGGCTGAAGGACTCTAGGAACTGGGTAAACTAGTGTTATCTATAGACGTTCTCTGCCTGCCAGTTCATTTAAGTCAGCCATTCCTTGGAATGCAAGTCATACAATAGAACAAAGGAAAAAGTGATGTCACTGCTATATAGCTTAATGTATAGCATTCCCTTCCTACAGCAACTTAGGGAGCTCCTGAGAAATCCATCTAACCTACTTCCACTGAACCTGCTGGGTGACACTGTTGGCTAGTGTCATGGATTTGGCCCAGTAGTGCTGTTGACCTATAACGCCTCTCATGGAATTTAGCCAGGTGGAGCTGTTAACCTTCTATGCGCCCATGGGATATTTTTGCCAGGAAGTGCTTTTGGACCCATAAGTACTTCTTATGAATCCTCCCTCATTGGTAAGCTGCATTTAACCCTGTTAGCACCTGTTAGTTAACTTAATAAAACATATCTCTCACAAAAGCCATCTCCTAGTATTTTCTTCAACCTCTTGAAAACCTAATTCACTGCTCCAGCACACTTGGGCTCTTGACTGGACACTGAATATGATGGGCACATGCCAGGAGGTTCACACCAGTGAAGTGAATCACTCCACGAGGCAGCCCATCTCACTCAGCCTGCAGTTCTGTGGCTTAAATATGCATTGAGATGCAGGTCAGTCACACAGTCATCTACCAGGGGTGGGTATTACCCCATGTCAGTCAGTCATTGATTTGAGGATTTCCCAAGTCCTGCAATCTAACTTGTCCAAACTAACTACATTTTCTGAGTTCTCTTTCATCATTAAAACTCTACAGCATTAGAAGTTTTTTATTTTACTTTGAAATAAGGATCTTTAGAAATGGACTACTATAATTATTTTAACTAATATCTAAAATTTTTAAAAAAATCATATACTCAGAAATTGGAGAAGAAAGATGGTGGCAGCCAACTCATTCAATGGGGCAAATCCAGTTCCAAACTCAGTGCTCATTGGGTACATACTCCATGCCAGTCACTGGGATAGATGGTTCATCTGTCTAATTTTATTTAAACTTCAGAACAGCTCAGCAAGGCCAATATTATTATTTGCATTTCAGAGGATGGGTAATTAAAATTCAAAGAATTTAACTTGCCTCATTATTCTATGGAAGAATCCAGATTTCAAACATCTTTTACTTTGCTCTTTCCAATGTATTACAGAGCTGTGTTTAAATCTGCAACTGCTGGAAACTGGAAAGTCCTATTTGAAGGGTTCAGTTTACATGACTTACATAAGACAGGCGATTATAGAAGAAAAAACTGCTATGGCAGGGTTCATTAACCAAGGAAAATTTTGTGTCTCAAGGGACATTGGGGAACAACCAGAAATACTTTTTGTTGGCCTCATTGCACAGGTGCTACTGGCACCTAGTGAGTACAGACCAGGAATTAGGAATTCTCCTCAAAGTTCTATAATAACAATGTCTCTCCCAAAAGATAGGGAAGCATATGATCCCAAATGTTAAGAATGCCTAGGCTGAGAAACCCTAGAATTTAGTACAGAATGGTAAGAGATAAAAGGAAGGGCAGGGTAGAAAAACATATGAATTAATACAAAATTTTACTATAGCATGAGAAATGTTCTCTTTCCTTTTGATGCTATTTCTTATCAAGACCCCAAAAAACCAAGACTTAAAGTTTGAGAACAATCATATATCATTAGTGTTATGAAGCATCAGTGAACTAAAGCAGAAGCCATTTTGAATTTCAGGTCCTACAATCCAGGCTCTGTCTGGGGAAGAGAAGAGAGGCAGGATGTCAAAGCCAAAGTCTACCAGGGTTTTCTCAATCTGCAGGCTTTGTGGCCTGAGAGTAAACAAGGAGAGGTGACCATCATGGTGAAGATTGACTACCAGAGTTGCAGGTAGACATAAGCAGTAGTCTTCCAAATGTTTGAAGTTGGTGTTGTGATTGATAAAACATAAATTTGTTTGAAAATATTTCTGAGTATATTGTCAGTACTTGTCTTTTTAATCAACAAATTAAAGGACTAAATTGCTATAACGGGGAATGGCAGGGGAGATCACTGGCCATTGGCCTAAAATCCTTTCATAGACTTGTATAATTAAGGCAGAGCTTAAGATTTCGCTGGACCTGAAATGGAAACCACCAGTAGCCTTGTCAAAGCATTAGTTGTGTCAATTCTGTGGGAGAATGTGCAGTGCATTTTAGCTGGTGGAAAAATTTCCTGATTAATTGTGGTAATAAATTAGACTTTGGCATGATAACCAAAATCTGGACATTCTCAATGGGTGGCCTTCCATATCCCAAGAGGAATCCCATCCTCATTCACTAGGCTCAGTCCCTGACCTCAGTGAACATCTTTTCCCATAGAGAAGTGACCCTTCTGCCTATTTCCTGGCAGAAGCCTTCATTTTCTTGGAATAAATGCCCCTGCCTCTCACCTGTATGAAGCTGAGAATGTAACTTACAGGTAGAAGAAAAGAAAGCAAGTAGACTTGAGAATAATACCCTTCAGAGTAAATCTAATCTCCTTATTTTATAAAAAAACTGTAACTTAATAACCCCATGTAAAATGTTTTTGTAAATCATGACAATTATTGCTAACACGTAAGTGGTTTGGGAACTCACCGCCCACCCTGTGTGCTCTGACACTCAGACACTGATCAGAGTGAGTGTCTGCCTGGCACCTGTGTGGACACACCTGTGTGTCCCCTAGCACCTTGGGGACCTTGTGGAATAGTGCACAGCTCCAATCTGAAGTCAGCTGGACCTGGATCAAGTCCTCTGAGTCAGATGTGCCGGATGGTCTTCAACCTTAGAGCTTAACTGCTCTAAGCCTCAATTTCTCTCCTTTCTAAAATGGGGCCAATGGACATACTTATAGGTTTTTGTGGTGGTAGAAAGAAGCAGTGTGTATTTAAATCAGTGTCCTCCAGTCCTGTAGCATTCAAAAATCACCTTTTCCAGTAATACACAGAAAAGCTGTCCAGAGTTCACCTGCCAATCAGGCAGGGAAAGTCCGGGGCCATGGTCATTAGGTCCTGGGTTCCTGGCACCAAGGGAGCCACTGAGGAGTCACTGCAACTTCTTACACCATATTCATATTTCTCCTCCTATGGTGGCCTCCTGCTGGGTGACTTCACAGTCACCCTGGCCCAGGGCTCAAGCCTGTGCTACTTTCCTCCCACTGCCCTACTCTGCTGCAGTCTGCAGCAACCCCTTCTCCTTCATCCCTAAAGCTCAGCTGGCCCACGGCTCTGGGTACCCAGCAGAGTTTACCAAAGGTGGAAGCAGGGCTTTTCAGTCTTTGCACTGTTGACATTGGGGACTGAAGAATTGCTTGTCACAGAGCTCTCATGTACAATGTAGGATATTTAGCAGCACCTGGGCCTCTACCCTAGATCCAGTAGTACCTACAGCCCTCATCATGACAACCACAGAAGTCTCCAGCACTGCCATGGAAATAAGTCTATGGCATAAAGGAGAAATACAAGTGAACAGCACAGGGCTTCCTCTCTTCCCTCCCGTCAGCCTCTGAGTGTGTCTACTGATCTCATTTCTATTGTTCCTCTTTGTGACCCCCATGACCCATCACATGGCCCTCTAGCCTGTTGCTTTATTCTGCACAGTTATTTAACTCTTTCTAATCTCAGTGCACTCTTTCCTCAAGCTCATATTTCATGACAACCAACACAAAACAAAGGGCTTTCCTAAGAGGCTTTCTTTCTCCTTAATGAATCTTTGCACAATTGAGAGCAGCACATTGAGTCTTCTCCAGTTTAAAAATAGTACTCACTACCACCACCTACAATGTGGGCCACCAAGGACCGTGGTCAGCATGGAGAAGATACTCCATAGATGCTGGCTGTCATCATTGTGACTACTGTGACTGTCCCTAATAGCAATAATGCACATCCACTACCTTTCTCAGTACCCTACTGGATGCCCTTAGAGGAGGAACTTAGTTCTTCTTGGCTCTGGAATTGGTCTGTGACAGTTAGTTAGAAACAGACCTTCTCCTTCCACCTCTGTATCATGGAGAATCACAGGGAAGAATAGCTTTCAATAATTAAAAAAAAATGTCTTCTGCTTAATACAGAAAGTCACATGCTCAATAATTCCTGTCAAAGATGGGGGGGGTATAAAAGAAGAACGGGGGGTAGGGAGCCAGGCATTGGGAGGTTGGAATACAGGGAGGTTACGTGAGGGAGGCACACATTGGCAGTTACAGAAGGAAAAGGGATTAGAGCCCATTGTACCTTAAAGCAAGGCCTTTTCCCTCTTTTGCCCAAGCTCAGTGAAGGCAGCCAAGCACAGACGGCTGATGTTATGGTTTTGTTTTAAGGCCTCATTGTTCTTTCATTATAGTTTCCAGTTTCACGGGTTTAAGTGTCTCCCTTTGCCAATAACATTTCCCCTGACGCTTATGTCCTTTTCCATCTGACTTCTATTGATCGTTTCCTCCCTGTCCTTAAGTTGAAAAAGCCCCAGTAGCTGTGGACCCCATCCTGGACCGCAGCCTCAATTTCAGTCGTGTCTAAGCATGGCCCAGATGGACCGGACCAAGGTTCAGCCCCAGAACTGGCTCTTTGACATAAGGACCTTTGACGTCGCACCTGCCTAGGCACAGATCATCAAATGCCAGAGCTGAGGTGGGGCAAAGTAAGCATCTAATTCTACTTCCTCATTTACCAGGTGAGGGATAAGGATCAAGAGAGACAGTGAGAGAGAGGACTTTAACTCTCTGCTCTTTATTCCAGAACTGTTCTTGAGAGATGATTTGGCTGGATGCTCCAAGGGCCCCAGATAGTTTTTGGGATATTTAGGACCTTGTCCAGGCTGGAAGTTACTCCACTATGTCACCAATTCCAGCCAAGGCCTCTGGCCAACACAACTGCTAGCACCAAGGCACTTCAGGAAGATGTCAGAGTAGCTAGCTGTTTGCTAAGTGCCAGGATGCTACCTCACCTTACACCAAAGTTGTGTTTCTGGATAATTGTACATATTTCATTATTGCATATTGTATGTGCGCTGAATCCAAATTTCCTTCTAGTAAGTTTGCACTGAGGAGTACCATGGTGATAGCTCTTGTAGAGGAGAAATCCACAGCCAGCTCAGACAAGGGTTTGTCTTCTTCTTTTTAAATGAAATCTCATTTTCTCATTTACTTCTGTATAATTCCCAGGAAGCATTAATGTCTCTTCATTTCTGATTGGTCTTTAATTGATACTGGCTTTTAACACTTTGGCTTTATGGTTTTCTACTCTCTTTCCCTAAAAATAAGCAGTTTGTGATCTATTAGGACACATTTAAATACCCGAGAAGGGAGGCCAGTGAAGCTGGCTGTTATTAGGTGGCTGCCATTTAAACATAACACTAAGCAAATCCCTAGGTAAGCTGAAGACTCATTATGTTATAAAAATAATTGCCTTTTAATTGGCCTGTTATGGTAACTGGATTCTTTTCCTTTCTGTATCAGAGTTCCGGCGGGGGGGGGGGCGCTGTAGAATAAAAAGAACTGTCTTTAATTCAGTAATGCAGATTTGACACGCTAACATTTACTTGCTTTGTCATTTACAGTGATCACTTAGCCCCCCTCTATCTCAATATCTCCATCTGTAAGCAGAATTTCCCAGGCAGTCACAGGATCATCCAGCCATCCTCCCTGCTCTCCTCTTGTCTTTTCTTTCTCAGGAACATGTGACCAGGCTAGTGGAATCAAAGGCAGCCAAACTAAAGACAAAATGCTTCTAGTCCAACTTCTGCCCATTGCCAGTTAAAGTTTATTGACACTACTGTGTGACTCTTCACTGACCTTCGGGGTCAGTCCCTGTGTCCCCTAGCGTGACTCTTTCTCCCTCTGAGTGGGTCGTGGCCATCAAGGCCAAAGCATCTGCTAACCCCACACAAGAGAGACAGCTTTAAGGTCCTAGCTCTTGCACATGCTGCAGCCATCACCTAGAGCATCTTCCCCTATTGCCACCCTCCAACCCCTTTGATGATTTTAAAACAGGGCTCAACACCAACACCACCTCTGCCATGTGAAACTTCCTCTAACCAATGCTCATTTATGGCAGAATCAGCCCCTTCCCCTTAGGCCTATGAACAGGGTCTGATCATTTGGCTCTAGAAAACTCTACCAAGCTTATCTATGGACACATCTGCCTTTTCAGGTTGTTGGTGAGATCTTTCTGGAGAAGGACCTTGACCTACTCAATATGCACCCCCACCCCAGCAGAGGGTAAATGCTCAGTGAAATTTGGCTGAGTAAAAAAATGAATAAATGAATGAATGATAAATGGATGTTAACCTGAGGTAGATGGCTAGCCAGGTGCACTGGGATGACTAGCAATCCCCCCAAATCCATGTCTACCCAAGACCTACGAATGTGATCGTTTTTAGAACTAAGGTCTTTATAGAACTAAGTTAAAATGAAATCATGTGGATTGGGGTGGGCCTTAATTAAGTGGAAGCATCTTTACAAGAAGAGGGAAATTTGAACACAGACACTACAGAAGGAAAATGGGCCATGAGAACACAGAGGTGGGGTTCATAGTTATGCTGTCATAAGCCAAGAAATGGCAAGGATTGCTGACAACCACTGGAGCCTAAAACATGCCAGGAAGGATTCTTTGGAGAAAGCACAACCCTCCTGACACCTTGACTTCAGACATTATCTTCAAAAGCTGGGAGACTAAAAGTCTGGTGTTTTAAGCCACTCAACTTCTTACAATTTGTTAGATGATCCTTACAAAACTATATAAGGGGTAAGGACATGTTGCTGCACTGTTGAGTAGAAGGTAATCTACAAAAGTTTCTCTTGATGTAGTAGATTTTTTATCACATCTTCTCTTTAGCATCCTTTCTCACTCGCTCTCTCACATTGCTTTGTCAATTTTT